TTTTCAATGGCCAAAACGACCATAGACTATTAAAAAAAATGAACCTAAATCTGACATACCTAAACTTGACGGCATCCCGACTTAACAACGACACATGATTTCAAAAAAAAAAAACAATATGCTCGACTAGGTTGGGTACCTTTGTCAAGAATGGTAATCTACTAAACTTGACGGAGGCGCACAACCTTATCTGTAACAACATACACAAAAAATCACACGCACACAATCCCATTTTTGATGCACTTAATACTTCTTGTGTTTTTAAATACTTAACTTCACGAACCGGACTTGACCGAATTGAAGAATACTTAACTAACTAATTATAAACACTCAACTCAACAGTAATTTCACCCAACAAAAACCATAATTCTCTCTAAACAACTCATAACACCCTTTTTACACAAAATAACAAACAACATTACAACGACATTATCACAACTATAACCTTCAGCTTGCATATCCCAAACATTCATTTCACACCACAGCAATCTTTAAACACATATGTAACACATTGTATATATTATAATAATATTGTTCACCGGCTAATACTATGCAAACCGAAAAACACTTAATATTGTAAAGACATTGATAAAAAAATATATTGTTTAAGTAAATACAACTGTTTGCCACACAATTTTGATTTCAAACTATTACTATATTATGTTTCGAATGCCGATTTCCATTAGATCTGTATTTTTAATTTTTTGTATTCAACACAATTCTAAGGAAAAATAAAACTATTCCACTTTGATTATTAATCGAAATTATTATTTTTTTCAATAACTATGTATTTTACTTTAACTCCATACTCATCAAGCTTTTAGATTTAATTATAGAAGCTAACCACCGTTTACTGTTTAATTTTTTTGATACCATTTTCAAGAGTGTGTAGTAGCATTGACACCTACTCAATGATAGTAGTTGCCTTATTCAAGTAGTTATTTTGTTTAATAATTAGTTAGCTTGTCAAATTAGGACGTTGGCTATGTATAAGACTATATTAAATGCATTTTGAATTATATATTATAACGTTCCAAGACGTTCGCGGTGTACTCGGATCGCATAACACTAAATATAATATATACTTATATATTATTTCACAAGTGTTCCTGATGAAACACATTCAATGTTATTCCTCGCACTATCCAACGTGTGTTGGATATTTCCATTGTCGAAGTAACAAGAATAAGAATATAATCTACACACTCTCGGTCACGTTCCTCGCCCAACACACGAATGTCAACCGGTACTGTGCCCGTCGCCGCCGCCGCCGTCTCAGTCTCAAGAAGTCTGTTTCATGACCACCTGGGAACATCACCGACGGTCGGCGGCCAACCCGTATAATATGTATTATAATATTATCACGTCCTATACCTATATACGTACTTAAATATGTGTATATTATTTGCATCGAATGTAAGTTTGTCGTTTGCGCAATCTCGCAAATATCACTATATAACAACACTGCACAAGAGAAAACTATAAGTACATTTTTTTTATATATTTTAGCCGTTACTTAAAAATATGAACTTGTTCTCGACTATTGCAATTTAACGCAATATATTTTTATTAATACATATACATATATATATATATATATAGACTAAAATCCAAACTAAAAAACGCGGTTAATTTACCAAAATCTCGTTTATTGGAAAAACAACTTATTGATTAATTACTAGGCGAATAGACAAACGCGATTGATTTTGTTTAACAATATTAGATTATTAATTTAATAATAATAGGTAAGAGTCTGTTATTTTAAGCGCACTATATATTGATTATATAATTTACTAATGTACTAACTTACTGACTTACTGGCTATAAGTGAATGGTATGACCTCACTTGGCCGTTTAAAGTAAATAATTAGTGTTTTTATTTATTTATTTTTCGTACAACTATTTATCAATATCCGTATTATTATTGTTGTATATAAATCCTAACCGGACGAGTTCAAGTATTGAATTAAACCAAAAAAAAAAAAATTTAGAGAAAACGCACAATATAATTTAATTTTTTTTTTTTTTAAGATGCGCCGCGAGGATCGGAAATCGGCAAGGAAGTGTAAACGGGAAAAATTATTAAGTTAACGACGTGTAAACACGGGTTTTTATTGACGGTAATTGGTCGGTGGCTGTGGCGGTGGTGAAGCGCCGGCGAGGCAAAAATATGGTCGAAACCAGGTCGTAAAACAGTCCTCGTGTGCGCCCTCCCTCCCCCTCCCCCTACCTTAAGTGTTGCGTGGAGCGTGCCGCCAGTGAGTATATGTATAAATATATATATATATAAATGCCAGCCAACGCGGTTTATAATATTATACTCTCAACACACATACATGATAATGTACCGGGCCGTTTAAAATATAATATGTGATAAAAATCACACTAGCACTCTCCTCTCTATACCTATACACATCAAATTAGGCAGGTTTATGATGCGGTTTTCAAAAAAAAAAAAAAATAAGTAAGTAAGTAAGCAATAAACAAAATCGGCAGTCGACTACCGACCACCGCCTTATACCACCTATATAATAAAATATTAGTATCCTATACTTAAAGCGCGACGACGTGATTCGTTTTTTATTTAACTCTCGGTCTTCCGACTTACTATTTTTTTTTTTTATCGCGGTCGTTTCTCAAGTGGCCGCCCGTTTACATACTACTATTATTATTATTATTCCATTATCGTAATATAGTATAATATAATACGTACAATTGACAAGCGCGGCAACAATAATAAAGCGGACGTTATACTGTTATTACACCGAATTGTTGTTAAATTAAGACGTTAAAAAAAAAAACCATTAAGAAAAACGGTCGTAAATATCCGGCCCAACGCAATGGTTTTTTTTTTTATATCGACAACAGCCTAACCGTTTCACCGCGTTTTGTTTATGATCAATAATATTAATATCATTATTATTCATTTGATCGGTGCCGCAATAGCAATAGTTTTTTAACTGGGGTAATTGTAAACGAACAGCCAACAGGATAAATGTAAATGCATTTTTTTTTTTATAATAGAAGTACCATCAATGTTAGTATTTAATTACACAGTAAGCATATAAAACGTCTTCTAATTCAGTGTTCAGTTAAAGTTGAGAATTTTTAATTACTTCGTTAACTAAAATAATCATTTACATTTCCCTCAATTCATTTTTACCTACAGTTACTCCAGTTGACCCTTATAGGTAGGTATTTATGATAGGTAATGATAATCGTCACCAAAGACGGTCTTCACAGTAATCCTTTTATGTCTTATATCCATTGACAAGATAAAAATTGGACATAGATTATATCGCACCAAAAGCCGTAATAAAATATAACTTTAAAAAAAAACCAGACTAATGTTTGAGGGTCATAAGGGGGTTAAGTATAAATGTAATGCTTGAGTTTGACTATTAATAATGAAATACATAAAACATTAGGTCTAATAAACATTAAAAGCTTTAAATTAAAATTATCATTGAAACATAAAGCGTTTTCTTTTCGCTTTTAAATACAATTACCCTTATACTTGACCCTTATAAAAATTGCACTATGCTATTTTGTTTGTAAATTTTTAAACATCGGAATTTACTCAAAATCAAAATATAACGTCATTATCATATCACGTTAATATATGCAATAGAAATGTTACATTTAGACCTAACCTAATCTGACGTTTACTTTTGGCGCTAAAAATTAGAGCTATCTCGTATATATAGCTATAGTCTTTTTGGGAGCTGAACGATCCCTGAGAATATTTTTTAGGCGTTGTTTCAAGGTAGTGTATATTTATATATACTATGAATAATATGTACAATAAACACTAATTGCTATACAATAATATGTACACACCGCGTAAGACAATAGTGGATAAAAACTAATGGACTTTGCAGTGGGTCCGAAACTTCAGCACACACACACACAAACAGACATGGATAAATCCGAAAATTATCGATTTAATGAGAACATTAATGTACACATTAAAAGTCAGACAACATCACACGAGTTCCGACTTAACCCTTTTAATCTTTTTGGCTTTTGATCGATGGATGCATTCATAAAATATGTATTGTTGTAAATATTGGAATCTGGTAAAATCGATGAACTCATATTATGAACCTATGCATAGACCAATTATTACCATAAAAATAGTACTTTAGTCTCTACTACACTGTATACTTACTTATAAAACAGTCCGTTCAGAATAAATGGGCATATTATATAATTATACTTTCGCCGTTAGATCAAAAGATTTACATAATATAATTTAATCTTAATAATCATCTATTCGCTTGTTAATTGTTTAATATATAATAGGATCAAAGTGTTATACCTACGTCAAGTTAGGTCGGACAAGATAGTTTTTTGACTTAATACAATATTATTAATATAGCTATATATACTATACCACATTTTGTCCGAATTTAGTGATACGGTATTGTAATAATTACAACATTTTATCGGTTCTTTTTAGATTGCCCTACCTACAGTTTTTATTAAAACAAAAAACGTGTTAAAATAATAAAATATGCTAACAATATAGGTAGTCATACATTTGGACACGTGTTATTGTCGTGTACCACAATGCATGTACAATAATAATTCTAATGTGTAATTATATTTGCGAATAATTAGTTTTTTTTTTTTTTAAACTTATATCGAACATTTAATATAAAACGTATACAATAAAGCAGTAAGTGCTGTTTTTCGACACGGTTCCCAGTAACGCGCAGAAGAAGAAGAGCCACGTGGGTACCATAAAAACTTTTCGAGCGCACGAAAGTCGAGCAGTTCGGTTTTTATGGACGGCAAAGATAAACACTTTAACACATAGCTTGCACCACCACCCTTCCAACATACATATACCGTTTATACTATCATCCCTCAAATGGTATCTATATCGACAACCATACACATATAATATATGTATGTATAACTACAAAACTATAGCGAAATAAACGAAAAAATAACATATTATTTTTTATACAAACACATTACTTTTTATCACTCACCGGTTGCGTTCTGCGGTCCTCTCTGGGTCGGTCAATGCCAAGTCCTCCTTTAACGCGGCCCCGCGCGAATTGATACAAGTTTAGGGCAGGTCGGGTCGGTCGGGAAACAAAACCGCGACGGCAAATAAATAAAAAAAAAACTCAAAAACCGTATATTATTAAATTTTCAAAATAATAACGAATTAAAAATTAGAATAAAACAAAAAAAAAATTTAACAAAAATCGAAAACCGTACAACGGAAAACGGCGGCGTTCAGACGGAACAAAAACGGTCGGTGCATTTTTTTTTTTTTTTAATTTTGGCGCGCAAAATGAAAATGTTATAATAAATAAATAATAACAAATTATATATTTTAATTAAACCGTTTCGTGTCGACGGAAAAGCGCAAAGGGCGGGTTTGTGGGAGGTTTGGAAATTTTTCAAAATAAACTGATTTTCGCAAATATTATTATTCGGCTTGATGAACGGACACGGCGACGACCGACGATGTCGTACGGACGACGGTGTACGATAATAATATTATATAAAAGCTATAAAACCGTGTGCGTGTCCCGCCGCGGTGGTGGCGTGCGTCGTCGTTGGCCGTGTGTGTATGTGCTGTTATGGGCTCCAAAAAGTTTGTCCTTACAATAATGGGACGTGAATCGAAGTGTTGGGCGGGAGAATGGTTTACGGCTCTCGGGCACTGATAGAGAGGCCGGCCCCCTGCGCTACCGCCCGGCACGCCCCCGCGGCCCCCACTTCCCCCGCCCGCCCGGGCACACGCACATAAAGAATATCGGCCGCCGCCAAGGTGGGGGACGGCCGCGGCGCCGACAGAGTACGCAGCATACGGGACGGCCGCCGGTCCGACGGAGAGAGGACGACGACGACGACGCGTATATACGTATATAATATAATATTAATATGGTTGTGTGTGTGTGTGTGTGTGTGTGTGTGTGTGTGTGTGCGCGCCGCGTGCTCGTATATCGTCGGACGCGCATTGCGCTTGTCCCGCGGCCGCGGCCGGAGACTTACGACGACGTTTCCGAAACGCGCCGAACAGTCAATAAAGTATCTGGCCGCCGCCGCGCCGTCCAAGAACAACAATAATAACAATGTAACGGATCATAACGACGGACGGAACGCCGTGTCAAACGTTGTAATTGATAACGCGAAATTGCCGGCCGGCCCTCTTGTAATAATATTATAAAACACCTGTTGCGTATCCTATGTAATGATATTACACCGGCTCTACGCTATTAATATTATTGATACTTATCATACTTAGGTGTATTGATGTATGTAAGTTCAACGCCCCAGCTCAAAACTGCAACGACTTAAACAAATCGTCAAATATGCGTAATATGTTAGGTAGGTAGGTATTCTATATTTTTCACCAGAGTGCACATTAATTTCACTTTAGTACCACGTGTTTGTAAAAATATAAAAAAGTTACTGTAAGTCATTATGCCCGGAAAAGAGGTGGTTTTTTTTTTGTAGATTTGAACTGGGGCGTCGACTAAGTAAGGAAATTCTAAAATGTAAACAAATTTTAGTTGCTTAACAGACCAGGAACAAAAACTGGAGAAAATGGCGAGTGAGAAGCCAGAGATTTGGCGAATATGTATGAAAGACGAAAGCCCGAGTCTACTGAAAAGAAAGGAAGATATAAGACAGGTGGAAATTCTAATGAGTATTGTTGAATGAAGAGTTTCCCAAAGAAGTACAAGAGGAAACAAAATGGAACGTAGGATTAGTTAATAAAAAAGTGAAAAGTGTAAAAAGCGATAAACACAATTAACTTGGACTTGAACTTAGTAGGACCGGATGGTAAAAAGTCATCCAGCAAAGGGCTAAACATACTGCCAACAAGTTATTTTTGGCATTGCGGTTATTTTTACAGCAAAAGATAAAACTGGTCATTTTATTATGACGAGGATTAATTCACGTTGAGTACTATTAACCAAATTAAATGGCGAATCGCTGCTCTATCCCTCGTCTATTTAATGCGATTTTGATGACCACAAATAACGTATATTATATCACACTTACAGTATATTTCACTATTGAATTTTAATCATTTATCTATGCACGCTTAAAATAATCTTCAGTAATTACAATTGAAATGTATACATATTAATATATACGTATTGTATTCGTTAATTCACTTAAACGTTGAGTCACACTGTATGATTAAGAACATCTCGATGATTAAGATACAATCGACTATATCCGGTCGGCAGTTGTATAGCTTCGCTTGTTGTTTATATATATATATATATATTATAATATAATTAAGTAATTCTATGAAGGCTCTCAGTAATGCACAAATAATTTAATATTTTGTTGTGTATTCTTCGTAAATGTATTATATTTATTTTGCTGTCGTATAATTGTATTTATATGAACCTCTGTTTAAATTATATCATTCATCTGCTCAATTAAAACGATATAATATTTAGTGTACTTTTCATTTCAAACGAGGTGGAATATATTTTCGTTATCTAGGTTTTTTATTTTAATCTAATAGATTTATTTAAAAGTTCTCGGTTGTCTAAACGTGGGCTTATGCATTTAAAAAAATCTCGAGAAGATCAAATAGTATTTACAAATACTCGAGGGTCGAATTCCTTTTAAACTTTTCGATCGGTTTAAACATTAATAAAGTTGCGGCCAAGCGATAGCGGCCATTGTAATTGACAGAGGAAAACTTTTTCAAGGACTTTGAAACAGATATACCGACGTGGTGGCGTTTCCAATAGGCTTGCAAAGGGGCAAAAGCTTAAATTACGGTAAATCTGGATAAGACATAACTTTTTGAATAACATCCGCGTACTTCATTAGCTGATGGATGGCTGATGGTGTGCCCAAGACCTTTGCACATTTTTTTTCAAAACATAAATACATAGTGTTAAACTTCTTTTGGCATCATAATATATTCGTCTATTAATCCGCACTATTCGTGTATGATGAATATCATATTATGCTAGGTTATATTATTACAGTAATTGTTTTATAATGTCAAAATGTCAATTGTAACTGTAACAATGTCGTTGGGTGGTCCTGTATGCGGTCATTAAAAGAATCAAGTCGACGTAGGACGTTGACTTTATAACATTGCTTATGAAATTCTTAAAAAGCTTATTTATTTAAATAACGGATAACATTTTGAAATCTTATTCCCCATAGCATCTTTGTAGTTGTAGCCGTGTAAGTACGCGCTTGACACGTTCACACTAGTTGAGTAGACACATTGATTATTTTACAAGTATAAGTTATACATGTACTAAGTCGACAAGTTAATCTCGCACGTGTTCACCCGAATTAGCGGTTTAAAGAGTCGTTAAACGGCCTAACCAAATGGACTATATAAATATCTCACACATTTGCCTGCGAGCACCCTATATTGATTTTCCGCGCTCAATCGAGAGTCACTTAACACGGTTTATGGGTAGTGGCCGCAAGACGGATGATTGACGTCGACAGTGTAAGTATATATTGTATGTACAGATGAGAGATAAACGACTCAGATTACTTACACACACGACAACCGCGTACCTACGCCATTCGTTTACCATCATGCGGTCGTTGGGTTGGATATATAAATTACTATAATATGGATATACATACATATAAATAGATATAAGACGGACAGCTTAAATCACGGGGCTTATGCGACGTTGACGGTAGATAATATATCAATTACCGAGCCGAAGACAAATCCATTATCGACCTCCGATGGTATGCACAGTGGCGAGCAAATACCCTAATGTCTTCCAAAATTTGGGGGGGGGGGGTGCGGACGGGTGGAGAGGGGGGGAGGAAGAGGTTATTGTTCTATCCAAGTTATTAAAGCTTAAAATTTATGACGGAAGGGACAGGGTGGAGGTGGTGTAATTAACTTGGATATGTTTTGAGATGGACACAGGAAATTTCATGTCGTTATTTTCGCGTTACACTTTCAGTTAGAAACAAGATAATGAAGATAAGCGATAAGACATCAAATATTATCTATTATTAAATGTTTTTTAGTGGAGCTGAGAAAATAACTAGTTTCGTTTGTTTCATCCTCGACCATCACTCAAACGCAGTGGCGGCTATCCTATACTAAAGGTGTATCCATCGATACACCTTTAAAATTGGGTGGATGGTCGTGGTGAATGAGTAACTTGTATAAACTATAAAGTCATACAATTATAGAATTAAATAATATTATATTTGTGTTATGAATGTGTACTGTACATATTGAGTACCTAATAGTCCTTAGAATTTGGTGTTAGGGAGGGTGGGTGGTTTATGGTTTTAAAATTGATACACCATTATTTTGCAAGATAGCCGCCACTGCTCAAACGCACCTCCCGCCTTAATTGTTGTACTTAGTAAGTAACTTAAATTAATGACTGTAAAAGAAAATTGATCAAAATTGGTTAATGGAAAATATTTTTAAAAAATTGAAAATTTGAAAACTGTCTAATATTGTAAAATAACATAAACAAAATTGTTGCCGAAAAAAAAACTAAAAAATTAGAATTATTTTAAGCGAAAACTAGTTTAGGGCGTTAAAAGATATTTCACCCGGTATATTTACTTATAAGTATAAAAAAAATAAGAACTAAACAGCAATACGAATATTTATGCCATAATTTGTTTATATTATTAAAAAAAAAAAATTTTTTTTGATTAAGTGTAGCATGTTATTGTCGATGATCTAAAAGTTATAATAATAATTATTTTCAAAGAATTAGTCATGGTTGGTCAACAAACAACAACTATATAAAGTATACTAGAAAATATAATTGCGAATTTGAACTTACTAGTTATATCTTGACAACACGTGTATAATATAGTTTTGGTAACTGGAATTATAATATTATCATAGCAATTTATAAAATTAACGAGTGTTATAAATCATGTTTATTTTTTTATTTATTATTATATTATGTCTTAAATTTTATTTACGGCTGCGACATTTAAAACGAAACCTTATTAAATCATTATTCATTACTATACTCGAGATTGTTTTGTACAAATTATACTCTGGTTGTTATGATTGATTTATAGAGAAACGAATTTTACACTTTTTTCGTTATAAACTTTTAATAACGAGCTATGTTAATATTGTGTGATTATTATTATAATATATATTAATAAATAAATTATAATAATAATTGTACGTAGGTGCACATAAACGTTGTTTGAATCGTTTATCGCATTTACATTGTATGCAAAAAAAAAAAAAAAAATGTATGAACTTATATAATATTTAAAACGCCACCCAGTCTATGTTATGGTGTCTGTCCATTAATGAATATTAAAACCTATTATTTGGCTCCGGGTGATTGTCGCTGTATGATTAATAACGCGTTAAATAATGAAAATCAACTAAACACAGTTTTTTAATTTAAATTCTACTCGCCCTCGTCGAAAGTGCATGTGAGTTTGAAAATGATTTATTAAAATAAAATAAAAAACCCGTGAAAAGACTTTTCGAATTTGTTTTTTATTTTTATTAACATTCCTGGCAATTTCATCGTCTCCCGGTAATATAAAGTATTTCATTATGCAAATTATTATTATTATTTTTTTTTTTGCAAAAATTTAATAACTAATGTTATGTACTTACTTGTTAGAATAGAATATGTACTAAAA